TTTGTTTCAACTTGACATGAGCTACAGTCACCTGAGAAGAGGGAGCCTCAGCTGAGAAAATGCCTCCCCAACATCCGGCTGTAGCCAAGCCAATAGGCATTTCGTAATTAGGGATGTGGGAGGGCCCAGCTCCTTAAGGGTGGAGATACCTCTGGTAGTTCTAGAAGAAAGCAGGCTGAAGTTGGGTGTGGTGGTACGCGCCTTTAATCACAGTGCTTGGGTGGTCGAGACAGGAAGAAAGGGGGGGGGAGGGAAGGAAGAAGGAGGAGGAGGAGGAGGGAGAGGAGGGAAGAAGGAAGGAGAAAAAACCAGGCTGGGCCGACCAGAGCAGCACTCTTCTATGGCCTCTGCCTCAGCTCCTGCCTCTGGGGTCCCGCACCAGTGTGTTTCTGCCCTGACTGCTTTAAATGATGTGCTGTTACATTGAAGTGTGAATGAAATTAATTAACCCTCTCCTCCCCAAGTTGCTTTGGGCCATAGTGTTTTGTCACAGCAATAATAATCCTCGCTAAGACTACCACTAAACTATATCCTCAGTCTCAAGACAATTGGATTTTTTGTGTTTTGAAATAGTCTCTTTATGTTGCTGAGGTGACCTCAAACTCACGCACTTGAGTCCTCTTCAGTACCTTGAGTAGCCAGGATTGGTATGCACCACACCTGGGGCCCCTTTCATTCTGTGTGTGGTCCCCATCATTATGAGCTGCTTAGCAACTGCCCAAGCCCAAGCAGGCCTGGTCCCTGCTGCAGTCTTTCTTTACTCTGAAGGTGCTGTATCCAGCTTGGCCCTGGGAGTTCCTCTTGCGCCTGTCGCTCAGGCCCTATTGGTCCACTCACTTCCTGGGCCCCTGGGGACCCATCCAGAGACAGGGGATTTAATCAACCTGAGGACAGATGAGGTGTGGAGTGCTAGGAAGACTAACAGGGATGTGCACCAGAGAGGTAACTGTCCTGGACCTCGGAGCGTAAGGCCACTTCCTGCTGAGCTGGCATTCAGGTGCATGCTGAAGACATCTGAAAAGCAGCATGTTAGGGACAAAACAGGACGGTGTGCAGGTGATAGTTAATTTTATGTGTCCGCGCATCTGCGTCACGTGGTACCCAGGCATTTGAGTAAGCATTGCTTGGTCATTTGCCAAGGTATTTCTGAGTGAGATAAGACAATCTGGTCTTATTTACTGTGGGTAGTTTGGGTCTTGGCCAGCCAGAAGAAGCCTTGAGTGTGGCAGACTGAGTAAGGACACTCCTCCAGCTCAGGGACTGGAGGGGGGGGGGGAGGGCATCCACCCTGTTTTCCCACCTTTGTATTAGAATGGAAGGATTTGTTTCTTCCTGGGCTGTCTAGCTTTCAAACGAAACTATTTTTCACTTTTCCTGGAGAGAGGCAAAGAAACACCAAATTGCTACAGGTATAGACAGACATCAACAGACCAAACAAACGATTCCATTCAAGCCCAGCTGAGGACTGAATGAGCTTATCAGGGTTCCTGCCGGAGCACAGGTGGAGGGCTACATACAGGAGGCTGACTCAAAGGCAGCAACGCCACAGGAAAGTCCCACACTAAAGTGGTAACTCTGAAAAGCTGACTCATTGGAATCTCTCCCCCCTCACCCCCACAGGAAGTTGGGAGGAGGCAGTGGGGAGTGGTGCCTGGAATCACAGGTTATCACAGGTTCTGTTCCCTTGATGCCCGCCTCTTTCTTTCTTCAAGGCAACACGAACAGGCCTGATCTTGTTAAGGTCTCTTGGGGCACAAAATCAAGACAGCCAAGGTCAACTCAAGGCTGGAGGACAAAGTTCAAAACAAGCCACACAACTAGTTTTTCCTGGGTCTCTAGACCTTGGGCCAACGCGGCCTCCACAGCCTTCTGAGTCAACACCTTGAAAATAAGCACCCCGTGCTTTCCCCCCTCCCTTCCCTGCCATTTCAGCTGTTTCTCTGACCACACCACAAGCAGAAAGCAAGCTTGTGTTGCAGAGCTTGCCAGGATCCACAGTGGCATGAGCGACTAGGCTACCCACGGAGCTTAGCGAAGTCCAAGTGTAAGATGTGACAATGGCTTTTCTAGTGCCCCAGCTTGCCATGGTCCCCTCTCCTGTCGCTGTTCATAACTTCCTCCTCTGAAGAGACAGATTTGAATCCTAGGAGTACCAAGGTCACGCATGTGAGGCCTTCTGCTTTCAGCTTCCTGGTCAGCAGTGAGCAGCTCTGGCTGGACGCATTCCTCTTACACTCTGATACTCCTGCACACGTCTTCCTCTTACACTGATACTCCTGCACACGTCTTCCTCTTACACACTCTGATACTCCTGTACACGTCTTCCTCTTACACTCTGATACTCCTGTACACGTCTTCCTCTTACACTCTGATACTCCTGCACACGTCTGCCTCTTACACACTGATACTCCTGCACACGTCTGCCTCTTACACACTCTGATACTCCTGCACGCGTGGCCTAGTTGACAGCAAGATAAGGCTTCTCTGGCTGCCTCTCCCAGGTCCCAGGGCATGGTCCTTGGCTTCAGGCCCAGAACTAGAACTGGGGCACAGGAAGAAGCAAGCCTGGCCAGAATGAGCACCTAGAGTCCTGTTCAAGCTCACCAGGAAGCTCCAAGCCCAGCTACCACAAGTATCAGCCTAGACAGGAAGTCCCTCCCTTAAAAAAAAATTTTCCCCTTGGATCATAGAGTGATGGGCCATGTAGGATTCAGCTGTTTGAGTGCCTGTGTCCCTACATTCTTTCAACATCTCCTCAGAGAATGTGACTTTTGCCAGTGGCCTCCTCAGTCAAGTTCTACAGTGCCTTTGCCTCCCAGACCAGGTCAATGCTTTGCTTAGCTCCTGGGAAGGTCACTCTGCTGTGACTAGTCAGCCTGCACACTTGTCAGCCTACCACACAACTCACTTGATCTTTCTTGAGCCTCATTTTCCTCATCTATGTAATGGGAAAGATGACACCCGCCCCATGCTGGCTAACTTTATGTCAACTTGACATAAGCTAAAGCTATCTGAAAGGAGAGGGAACCTCAACTCAGACAATGTCTCCATAAAAACAAGCTCCATTAAAAAAAAAAAGGCATTTTTTTTTTTAAAATGATTGATGTGGGAGGGCCCAGCCCATTGTGGGTGGCACTATCCCTGAGCTGGTGGTCCAGGGTTTTATAAGAAAGCAAGCCATGATGAGCAAGCCAGTAAACAACATCCCTCCATGACCTCTGCATCAGTTCCTGCCTCTAGGCTCCTGCCCTGCTTAAATTACTGCCCTCACTGCTTCTGGTGATGAACTGTCACATCAGTGGTTCCTAGCCTGTGGGTTGCAACCCCCTTGGTGGGAGGAGCATCGAATGACCCTTTCGCAAGTTGCCTAAGACCACTGGAAAGCACAGATATTTACATTACAATTCATAACAGTAGCAATATTAGTTATGGAGAATCAACAAAAATCAGTTTATGGTTGGAGGTCACCACAACATGAGGACCTGTATTAAAGGTCACATCCCCTGGAAGGCTGCGAATCACTGGAAATGCGAGTAAACCAAACTCTTTCTCCTTAAGTTGTTCACGACTCTTCCCCCTTTGTTACAAGACTGAGAAGTGAGTCAGACACCATGTGGTTGCACACTCATCCAAACGTTAGGTGCTGTTGAGGGCTGAAATGCAAAAGCTCTATTTTATTTTTATTTTTTTTTAAAAAATATTTATTTATTATGTATACAATATTCTGTCTGTGTGTATGTCTGTAGGCCAGAAGAGGGCACCAGACCTCATTACAGATGGTTGTGAGCCACCATGTGGTTGCTGGGAATTGAACTCAGAACCTTTGGAAGAGCAGGCAATGCTCTTAACCACTGAGCCATCTCTCCAGCCCAAAAGCTCTATTTTAATATAAACCTGGGCTTGGAATATCTTCAGAGGTCTCCGTGCCAAACGCTTGGTTCTATTGCGGAGGGCTTAGGAGGAGGCTTTTGGGTCATTGGACACACACCTGTAAAGGGGACCGAGGGACACCCAACTCCCTCCTCTATTTTCTTTGCTCCCTGGCTTGTGACTGTTTTCTCTGCCACACCCACCCATTACGGTATGCTGTTCCACCACAGGCCCAGCTGACACTTCGTTACAGTCAAGGAAAGCTGACCAGCAGAAGGAATGCTGGAGATGTAAAATACAGCCTGGAAAACTGGGGGAGGGGTTTCCTAAGGGAATGATGTTCACCCGCCACACACGTTCTAGTAAAATGCCCATTGTGTGTACATTTGTGCAAAACTTCTATTGAGAGTTAAAACTTGAGGCTCCTGACTCTGGGCATTTAAGCCTCAGAGCTCTGGAGGCAGCTGGGGTGAGCCAAACTGCTCACACAATCGTTACAAATCCAGAGGGGCTCAATCGTAACCAAAGTTTACCACTGTGTCATGCCAGCCCAGAGCGGGTGAGCAGTTCTCTGGTGATGCAGAGACCCCGCCTCTTTCCAGCTCGGGCTCTCCTACCCTTCTGGCATGTGCATCCAGACACACGGGGGGGGGGGGGGGCAGCCAGAGAGATTGTATTTCTGTTCCCGGTCACTGCAAAAAAATGCTTAACCCTGAGGACAAACCTGGCTACAAGGAAGGCTGGTGGTGTGCCCAGGTGAGGGTGGCGTTGTCTTCTGCTGGAGAGCCAGTGGGTTTCTCCAGCTTTTGGATGAGGAAGTCTACACAGGAGCAATTAGCTTGTCAAAATTAGTTGGTCATAACCAAGTGACAAGGCCAGGACAGTGGCCAGTGCCCGAGGACAGTGCCCACCCGACCTGAGCTGCCATCCTCTCTCTTGCCACCATGTCTTCATTGGAATGATAGAAATGCATTTGCTCCCTGCTTCCCCCCATGTTCTTTCAGCTCGTATCTGTGGGTGTTCGTGTTCAGACAGGACATCAGAGCCGAGTGGCAACACCTGCTGCTGAGTCCTGGTTTGACTCCACACTGTGGTCCTCTGAACAACAACAACAACAAAAAACGACAGACTAGCTTCCAGGCCGTATTTTATTTTTACAGAAGCGGTGGCCCCACAGCCACAGGGACGTGTGTTCTGGAGAGTAGGCACAGCGCCTGAGGCTGCAAGAGCCTGACCAGGGGGAGTCATGCCTTCTCCTTGGTCCCCATGACCAAATTAAAACAAAAAAACAAACAAACAAACAAAAAAAAACCACACTGCCACAGCCACCCCTCCCCCTCTTCCCTTCCAGTAACAGCCAATTCAGCTTTCCAGTCAGGCGGTGGCTACAACTCTGACTTTCCAGAACACCTTCATGCAGCCAAGAAACCAGAGTCACGGAGGGGAGAGGCTTGCTCTGGCATCCCACATGCACTGTCCTGCAGCAGCGAGGTGACCACCAAGCCCCTGGATGGCTGGACAATGACAGGACTGGCTTGTGAGGAAAACCTGGGACCCAGCTCACCACGCTTGGAAGACGACCGGCCACTTTTCAGGCAAGATATTACTGGAGCCAAACACTAACCTGAAGCTAATGTGATTAAAAAAATCCCTTCCCTTCCCAGGTCCTGGGGCGTGTCTGTGGTGGGCTAGAATTTGGCTCTTTAGGGTGACACAGGTTGCTGGCATCACTACCACAGTCCCAGTGGCTCTGGGATGGAGGCTCAAGCGGTGGAACGATGGTACTTCAGATATCACGCTAACTAACCTAGCTCGCATCGACCATTCATCTGCAGCAAGCAGAGTCATTAGTCGGTGAGGACGAGGATGCACACGGACCACCAAGAGAGCCCGTGCCAAGAATGCACGCTGCACAGACAGCTAGGTGAAGACTACTTCCTTCACAGGCCAAGAGGATGTGGTGGTTCCTCCGCCTTCCAGCGGCCACAAGTGCTCCAGCCTTCACAGGACCACACTGGCACTGTGCGGTATGTCATGACAGCTCTTGGAGGCATCAGTGAGCATCCTTCAATTAAAGTATGACTCTTAAGGGTTCTGGCATGTGCCAGAGAGATGAAAATGACAGGGGAGCTGCTTGGGGGTGGGAGGAAGAACTCGAGATGATGGACAGTCCCTAACTGTCACCTGGATCGTTTATGTTCCCCCAGCTTCTAACACTAGGCTTTCTACTGTCTAACACAGAAAGGCTTCAGGAGCTCTGACGTTTCAATGAGACTTGAGAAAACAGCAGCTTAGTGGGGACTGTGACCAGCTCAGCTCTTGAATTCTGGCTTCTCTTCCAGGACTTGATTCCCCCCCCCCCCCCCCCCGGGAGACTCTGGGTTTTCAGCCAGGCCAGGCAGTTCTGAAGGTGGGGCTGTATAACCAACCACACTTCACTAACAAGGCAGAGGGGCCTTAGTGGCCCCTCCCTCTGGAACGGAAATGGAGCTAACTTTCTCTGAGCTTAGGATTTGTAAGGCACTGAAATTAACTAGAGCTGGGGGTGGGGGAACATAACGGGGGGGAATGAGTGACCCTGGAAGCTTTCCTTCCAACCCCAGGGAGGGTCCTCACAGTAGCACAGGGCAGACACCCCTTTCTTACTCAGTGTGGGAACCACCCCTATGTGACACAGTCATGAGCATGTGCCCCCATTGTGACTCAGTGGATCTTAGAGGAGGTCTGGATGGAGGGAGTCAAGAAAGGAAAGCCCAGGAAGGCCAGGCTTCCCATCTTGAGACGTCTTTTTCCAGGAACAGTCCTGAGTGGGCCCAGTGAGATGGCTGGGGTGACCCTCGGGCCTGCGCACACAGGAAGAAGGGGCAGGATGGCCCAAAGATGGCAGAGAGGACTTTGGACTGGACCTGGCTTTGGCACAGCACATCCTGGGCCTGCCTGCCCATCATGTGGCCCCCCCTGAGGTCCGGGGGAAGAAGGAACCTCCTTTGCCCCCATGAAGGGCTCTTGTGGCTGATGCAGGCAATGCAGGTGCAACCCCAGGGCACCCCCTTCATCATGCCAGCCAAACCTGTGCACAGGTGACCCGTGGGGAGCAGGAATCAGGTGTGAGGTTGAACGGGAAGCTGTGGCCATGGCTGCCACTCGTGAAGCTCTTCCCACACAACCAGCCCTTTGTGCAGATGATGGCCCACAGGTAGGAATTTTTACCTCTTTTCACAGATGAACACAGGGCACAGAGGGGCCAAGTGACCAGCCCAGAGTCAGAGTCGCACGGCTAATGAGTGGCTAACCTGGGAGCGGGACTTAGGACTGTATGACTCCAGATCCCGTGCGCTTCCTTCCTTCCGCTTGCCTGAGCTGCCCTGGAGATTTCTGGAGGGGTTTCTTTCTGAAATCTGGGAAAGCAGAGACGCTGGAGTGAGGGAGAACAAGTCCATTCCCATGCATCTGGCTCCCGAGGTGCCCCGCTCAGTGCCTCGCCGCCTTGCAGATCTTGTCGTACACCTCAGGGAAGGCGTCCTGGCAGCCGAGCTGCTTGCGCAGCTTGTGGTACAAGGAGCCATCAAACATCTCCCAGAACTCCTCCCGGTTCATGTAGCAGTCGGCGTATAACATCTGGAACCTGCATGGGAGGGAAGGGGTGAGGGTGTGAGGATGGGCAGGGTGGGTGAGAGGGTCCCTGTGCCCGGACACCCCAGGCCACTCACCCGTGCACACTCCGCACAAACTTCTCCAGCTGCCTCATGCAGGACCTGGCCTCGAAGTGCTTCACGCGTGGCTCCCCATACGCCCCAATGTCCACGTAGAGCTCAGCCTCATCTCCCTTGGGGTGCACCAGTCCTGGCTGGCTGGGCAGGATGAACGGGCACAGCCAGATGGGGTAGACCTGAGAGGCCAGGGAAGTGGGTTGGTCTCAGGTAGCAGACATAGGACTGGCCTGCCCACATCCCACCAAGGGAGACTTTGAGTTTGCAGCCCTCGCTAGAGGCTCCGGGCTGTTCCCTGCTTTGGTTTTCTCTATACCCCTGCCAGATACTCCCACTCCACCTCATGGTGCCAGCAGCCCATCAGACCCTTTTTTCTTGCTGCCCTGGCTGAGTGGGCTAAGATCCTCATTTTATGGTTGGAGGAACTGAGGCCCGGAGGACAGATACACAAAGCTGGGTGGCATGGCTCTGGAGAGGAGGTCTGGATCCCATGGGAGCATGCCCGCCTGGCCACCCGGCTTACGTGGATGTCGTTCTGGAAAGTGTGCAGGGCCTGAGCCATGCACTTCATGGGCACCAGCATGTCCTGAACCACGTGGTGCTGCTCGTACAGCTTGCGGAGAGTCTCGCCCTGGGTCAACTTCAGGAGGGAGATCTTGGGGGGCACCATCCAGCCAAAGAGGTAGCGGAAGATGGGGTTGTTGCCAAAAGGGATGATATCCTAAAAGAAAGAGAAGGGGGATGGGAAGACGGAGCCACGGCCAGGTCCCTCGATCCACCCCGGACAAATACTCCAGGGTGCGAGCCCCTCCTTAAAAGGTAGGGTGGCCTTTACCAGACGGAGCTGGGTTTGATCCCCATCTTGCACATTTACCAACTATGACGGCCTTGGGCTAGTTACAGAACTTCTCTGAGCTCAGCTTCCTTATCTGGGAAAAATGACGCGCGAGACCAACAGAGATACTGTGACCCCCGCCCCCCCAAACCAGGAACACAATGATAAGATGGCTACCATCCCTGTTCTTGAGATTAAGGTCAGAGTGAATCATATCCCATAAATATTTGCTAAATGAATGCCATCCAGTGAGAAAAGGGATACGCAGAGAGCTTGAGCAATGTTTCTAAGGTCAGGCAGCAGGAATGCACCAGGTGGGTGGAGTCGCTCCACAAGGAGTCTGTTGGATCGCACACAGCCAACCATTCATTCACTTGCTTCTCTTGGTCTCCCTGGAGACCCTGATGGGCAGATGCTGTCTTTACCCTCACGCCCTGGGTGCTGTTGCTTCCCCAGCACACCCTTCGTTTAGAGGACTAGCTCACAATGTTCCTCCCAGCTCTGACCTTGCCACCTTCCTAAGTCACCAGTGTGCAGAGAGTACCACAAGCCCTGGAGCCTTGATGCCAAGGGTGTCGGAGACAAGGCATTCCAGACATGCTTCCTGTCCTGAGAGCCTCTCTTGGGAGTGGAGGGTACAGGACAGAACTGGGACACAGAGTCAGAGGCAGCTCCCGAAGGTCCCCTGGAACAGGAGCCCAAAGCAGCAGTATGTGCCAACTGCTAAAAGCCGGGTAGCAGCACTCACCCATCCCTGGAGTCAGAGCTCTCCTATAAGGCCGCTAATCCGCTGTCCAGTCTGCTAGATCCACATATCACTACAGTGAGTGAGGCTAGAGTCAACCCACTGTAGCCACATCTGTCCATCTAGATGTCTATGGCCTCCTCCTGGCTAGGAGAATCGGAGAGTACCCAGAGAAACTGAGTATCACCCCTCCAGCCTTTCGCACAGACTGCCTACCCATGCCTCACTCTGTTGCCTGATGTGGAGCTATTTATTTAAGTGGTCCTACATTGATGAACATTTAGATCATTCAAAGATTATCCGTGAGGCATCTCTCTGCCTATGTCTACCCATCAATACGCACACTTGCTGTTAAGTTCCCGGACATGGGCAACTTTAGATTAAATGCTGTGGGTCTCTTTAAGGGATCCTATTTCAGAAGCAGGTACAGTCTTATACTCTGAAACTTGAGGCGAACACTGCTCCTCGCACGCCCACCAGCAATATGTGGTCACACTTCCAGACCCCTGCTGTTGCCCTGACAGGTGAGCACGGTGAGAGGCCTGCTTTTAGCTCTCAGTGACACCATGTCCCCTTTCTCAGATCCACTGGTTTGTCTCAGCCGACACTGTCCACCTCAAAAAGCAATGTTTAAACTTTCTTTCCCCTCTGCTACTGCCTTACAATCCGTCCTTTGTCCCCTTCGTGACCTGGGGTCCCCAAGGCCCTGGCTTCACTCTTGTCCTGTCCTGCCAATACACGGAGGCCACTCATCCCAGCAATCTCCCTCAAGCTCCTGCCACCTCCCTGTTGCCTGCATCCGGCCTGCTACTGGCCACCTCTGCTTGGGTGGGCTGGCTGCAAGGCCCCAACGATGACCAAGGATCCCAGATCTCCTTTCTTACCATGTTACTCGCCCCCACAGGCTAACAACTGCTATGCAAATGGCCACGGAAGATGAGAGAGACCTGGCCTATGACTTAATAGAAAGACGAAGGTCAAGAGAGAATGTTCATGTACCAAAAGCAAAATAGTCCTTGTATGCTTTTATATGTATGTAAATGCATGCCCACAGAAGTGACATACAGAGGTCAGAGGACAGCTCTAGTGTGGCCCTTGCTTTTCACCTTGTCCGAGATAAGGTCTCTTTGGTTGTTTGCTGCCCCGGGTACCAGGTCAGCTGTCTGGGAAGCTTCCACAGATTCTCCTGCTCCACCTCCCATTAGGAGCTCTGGGATTATAGATGTGAGTCATCACGCCTAGCTTTAAGTGGGTTCTGGGGATTTGAACCTGGGTCCTCACTCTTGAACAGCTAATGCTGTACTCATTGACCATCATCTCTCTAGACCAAAGGCAGTGGGTGTCAACCCCCCGCCTAGACCAACCCCATTGTGCTAAGGATTGAACTTATGGCTTCATGTGTGCTAGGCAAGCTGCCTATTGCTGAGCCCCAGTAAATGCTCTTATATTTAGAAGAATGGTAAAATCCATGCTAATAACTTAGAATGTTTTTTTATTATGTAAATACTTATGACAGGACAAAGAAAAAGGCTTCATATTTTAGGAATTTTAGAAGCCCTTTAGACCTGTTCTGTGCATCGGGCCCTACAGGTCATCTAGCAAGCCCTGAACTTGGTGCTGCTTGGTGACCCAAGTCGGGAAGGAAGGAAGATGTTTGAGCCAGCCAGGCTGGTCCCCTGTGAGAGGCGAACTGACTCTCACCCAGAGTGCAGGTTCACCCGGTTGTTTTCAAAGATCCTTTTTCCTCCTGGGAGGAAGCTGAAGTGAAGGCAGCCAATGGAAGGGAAGGTGTATTGAAGGGAAAGTCTAAGTCCTGAGATGTCCTGAGATTGTGTGGTGTGTGTTCCTTATCAGAAAGGTCTCTGCTTAGCTGGGGGCCCCACCCACTTCCCCAGGGACTCAGGAAGCTGGGTTCCTCCTCAGGAAACCACTCTAGGCAGAAGGGAGAGGAAAGAGGCTGGTCTAGGGCCAGAGGTGTGGGTAAAGTCCATTGATCTCTATGGGAACAACATTCTGCAGGCCATCTCTGCTTGGCGCTCCTGCGGGCCAGTTGAAACCTTCCTGTGACTGACAGCTTGGCTTCTGCAGCCGGCTGCCACCCAGTGCTATTTCCCTATTGCCTAGCATTTCTAAGTCCCAAGAGTAAACAAACTCCAGGTGAGCAAACACAGGCTTAAAACACCTGTTCTTCCAGTTCCTTCCAGCAAAGGAAGGTGATTTAGGACAGTGTTTACCTAACAGAGCAACAACAGGCAGCAAGCTTCGTTTTGAGCACAGACTGTGAACAGTTCAAGATCTATCTATCTCCTTTGGAGATGGGGCTCAGCGCCCCTCAGCTGGAGTGGGTCAACGACATGGTGCTATCAGTTGGGTTGTGGTGGCAATGACTGTCAACCGTAACATGAAAGGTACACTGCAGAATATGCCCGAGTATCTCTTGGGTGATCTTTTGTGGGGGTTAGGCAGCTAAAGGAGTCCGTATGGCCGTGAGTAAGGGTTCCCTCATCCATCACCCATGGCCTCACACTCATGGGTCCCCCCTGGAGCCTGACCACTGCAGTCCCCTTAGCCCATACAAATGCCAGTTCCCACTCCCTCCTCTCCTCCCATTCCCTTCACCTGCCCCCTCCATCTCCCACCCACTCCTCAGAGAGGATAAGGCAATTGCTTTGCGGAAGGACCAAGGCCCTCCCTACTATATCTAGGCTGAGCAAGGTATCCAGTCAAAGAGAATGGGTTCCCAAAAAGTCAGTCCAAGCAGTAGGGATAGATCCTAGTACCACTGCTAGTGGCCCCTCAGTCTGCCCCAGCCATATAACTGTCACCCACATTCAGAGGAACTAGTTTGGACCTATGCTGGTTTCCTCCCTTTCCGGGTGGAGTTGGTGAACTCCCATTAGCTCAGGTAAGCTGTTGCAGTGGGTGACCCCATTATGGTCTTGACCTCTTTGCTCATATTCTCATTCCTCCCACTCTTCAACTGGACTTGGGGAGCTCAGCCCAGTGCTCTGCTATGGCCCTCACCCCACTCCTCAATGAGGCCTGGACTGCTGCATCCGCTCATCCCACACTCATGGCTACCCCTCACTGGGCCTGGCCAATCGCAATCCATCACCCCACATCACTGAAGCCTGGGCCACTGTGCCCCTCCCTGGTTCTGAACCACTGCGTTCTTATTCACCCTCATACACTGCAGTTCTACTTCACGGAGCCTGGTCACTATCACCTTCATTTTCCCTCACAGTTTGTGATTTTAATCCCCACACCTGTGATGTCCCCACTCGTTGGTACCCCCGCTCCCCAGCCTGCTTGCCTGTCTCTCAGCAGTCTCATCTTTCACTGAGCTTGGCTATTGCTCTCATGTCGTATCTCGGAGCAGCTGACAAGACTGTCACCATGGCGATCTAATCTCAGAGCCAAATCAGTCCTGCTGCATCTTTTCCCAGAGCCACCCACAACACACTCACTCACCGTGGATGGGACCACTGCAGTGCCCTGGCGCAGCAGAACTAAGTTGCTGGGGTACAAAAGTATCATCCAGTCGGTCCCAGACAATCAGTGGTCTATCTTCATTTATTCCACATTTCCTACTGTCCAGATGCCCCCAGAGGTGGCCCGCTACTGACCTGGCACCCGCTGTCACAGTATGAAAACCCACAGCCACATGCTGGCCTTGCCAGGAGTTCATGGTCCCGAGTCGCAGGAAGCTGAATCCCCTGGCCATCCCCAGGCAATGAACTTCCTATTCTGTAAGGAACAATTCACATGTCCCCCTCTCAAGTGGTCTGTCACCATGTCCCAGCTGAAATTCCTACTTCTGACTTCACTGAGAAATTACAGACAACCAAAAGGGAACTCTCTCGACTTCCCACCTCCCAACTGTCCCCAACTTCCAGCGACTGTTCCCTCCCACACATGCCACCACAGGAGGCCACTTTCTCAGCTGAGCCAGGGACTCATCCCCCTCTCTAAACACCCTCACCCTGGACTGTCATTTTCCCCATCAGCCCCAGGACACATAACCATGATGTCACCTCTTCTAAAAACAATTGCAGATTCTTTCTTAGTCCCACCCTCCTTCCACCATCTGTCCCGTGTCTATTTGCTTTAAGTAGCCGCTGAGATTGGTTTTCATGATCCCTTTCTTTCAGACTCGGCCTTCCGGCTCTCACCTGCTATTCAAAGCTGGTTCTACCCCTTTGTCTCACTTAGCACTCGACATTATCCTGAAGGTCCCCAGGGCTCTGGCTAAAGGACCTTCTCTTCTGCTGGTTCCTCTCCCTGGGGCTGTAGGGGACCCAGGACTGGAGTCTTCATGCACCTACTATCATGGCTTTAAATAACATTTCTCAAAAAAAAAAAAAAAAAAAAAGGCCAGGTGTGGGGAACAGGCCTAAAAGCTCTGTATTTGGGGAGGGGAGAATGTACAAGGCTGGGGTTGGTCTCACTGACATAAGGACCAGCATGGGCTACATGAGACTTTATCTCAAACACAAAATAACCAAACAAAACCCCCCACAAACCCAGAAACATTTCCCCACCACCAAGGTCACCAAGGTCCATATTTACACACATGGTCTTAACCTTGCTGAGGCCCCCTGGTCCTCACACACACGGTTGCCTGGCGACCAACTCAAGATCCCATCTGTTTGCTCAAAGCAGTAGCTTCAACAGATGTGGTCAACTCAGAACGTCCAGTATCCTCTTCCATGCCTCCCCTGCTTCCCGTGGTAGTTAGGGGTTTCCAGCCTTGAGCTCAAGCCAATCTGTCTGGAAATCCTGCCCGAGTCCATCAAGCTGCTCTTTGCCTCTGTCGCCTCCCAGGCAACAGACATGTTTCATCTCTTTTTCCACGACCGCTTTGCCCCCAACCTACCTCACGCTCCTTCCAGCTACCAGATTTCCTCTAAGATTAAAAATAAAAAAGTAGGGCACATCGCCTTCCTGCTCGAAGTGCCCACTGGCTTCCTATCACACCTAGAAGAAGCATTAAGTTCTTACTTGACCTACAAGGAGCCACGTGACCCAGCCTCTGGCTGCTGGGTGACCTCATTCTGCACCCCGGCTCTAACTCTGTTTCAGACATATGCAGCCTGCAGGGACAACAGGGCAGCGAGGTCCTGAGCGACTGCTACTGACCCCTGCCTCGCATAGGAGGTGCAAAAGGTTCAACCTAAATGAAGGTGCTTTAGCCTTGGAGGCAGAGCTCCTGGAGGCAGGCATGGATGTGGGGGGGGGAGGGGGAATGGTGAGCAGGGATCTTCCTGATGTCACATTTGTCAACAAATTCTTTTGTTGTTTGAGACAAGGTTTCTCTGTGTAGCTATGGAGCCCGTCCTGGAACTTGCTCTGTAGACCAGGCTGGTCTCAAACTCACAGAGATCTGCCTGCCTCTGCCTCCCGAGTGCTGGGATTAAAGGTGTGTGCCACCACCACCCGGCTGTTAATAAATTCTTAAATAAGACACTGAACAAAATGGGTAAGTTAGACTTCATTGACATGAAAGACATGTATGTCAACAGACACTGTGAAAACTGTGAAAGCAACGTGCAGGATGGAGAAATATTTGCAACTCGCGTGTCTGCTAATGGCTTGGCATCCAGAGTGTGTGAGGAACACACACAACAACAAACAAAGATGGACAAAGTGTCCAGAGAGATGGGTCAGTGGACAAAGGCGCTGGATGCCAACCCTGATGACCTGAGTTTGACCCCGGGGATCCACAAAGCCGAGGGAGAGCACTGGTTCTTGGAAGTTGTCCTCTGACCATCGTGACATGTGTTACACACATGCGAACACACACAAAACAAATGAACGAATGGTCTACAATTAAAGACCCCACAAATGGGCCACAAGCACTGACACAACGCTCAAGATCAAAGACCGCTGTTCAGCACCGCCTCTCTGAGGTTGGCCGTAATAATAACAATAGCTTACAGATCAGAAAACCAGTATTGGCTAGATCAACGGGGAACCTGGAACACTGCTAGGTGAAACGTGAACCGCACAACCACTGTGGGAAACACTCTGGCAGGACCTCTGCCAGTTCGACACAGAATCACCATAATCCAGCAATTCCACTTCTTACGTGTGCGATGAGTGTCCCCCCAAAGAACATGAAGACTGTTTACTTGCTCTTGTGGTACAGAGAGAACTCTTGGGACCCTATCGAGGTGGCAGCTACCCAGCATCAGGAGTGTACTGCGCTCCCCGAACTAGGCACCAGACCCCAGTTTAATTCTCTGGGCCCACAGCTGGCCATTCCTCTGCCCAGGGACTCTCCTGGAGGTTCTGAAAGATAAAGCAGGTCTGCCTGCCTTCCGCAAAGCATGCCCCCCCCCCCCCCCCCCCCCCCCCCCCCCCCCCCCCCCCCCCCCCCCCCCCCCGCTCTCGGTGTCAACTCTCATGGCAGGTGGCTGTACCCCGCCCAAAACACAGTAACTGCTCCGCTGGGCCAGAGACCGGTGGCCCCAGTGTGAACGGCCTGCTGTCTCAGGGGAGCCAAGCCTCACCTGGAGCTCCCAGAAGATGCTGCGCGTGTGGCGGTGGTAGTAGTGCCGCAGGGGAATGTACTCGAGGCCCTCCTGGTTCGTCTTCAGGTAGTTCTCCACATGCTTGAAGAACCACGGCTTGTAGTAATTGCCGATGCTATTCAGCTGAAATGACAAGAGTGTATTTGTGATCGGGGAATGCCAGACACCACAAGGGAGCCACCAGGGAGCAACAGCAATCCAGCCATTTGTCAAACCTCTGACATGTCAGCTGTGGCCTTGGAGAGCCTTCAAAGCTAGGCGGCTTGGGCACAGTAGGCCCTCTCCAGCAGAGAGCAGACACTCAGTGACCTTAGTGCCGAGCACAGGGCCGTGGAGCTGGCTCTGGCAGTCTAGGAAATTGAGTGGCCCATCTTAGCCAGTGACCTGATTCAAACAGAAGTCAGTGTTCACGATGCCAGTAACACTTCAGGGCTCTGCACAGGTTAGCTTCCTGCTGCCCTCACTGAGGCAGTGTGGATCACCCTCACTGTCGCCCACAGCTCCAACTCCAGCCAACCACGGCACTTCCTGCCTGTTCCCAGACTTGGCTCCAGTCCTCTAGGTTCAGAACTTTCCCTATAGTCCCCATCTCCTGGAGGGAAGCTCAGGTTACAAGCCTGGTCCCTGGTTCTGTGTCCTCCAATGATACCCCGAACTGTTGGCTTATAGCTCTCAGAGGTTCAGGCTTTGATCTGGCTGGCTCCAAGGTGACTTAGCTGCTCAGACCCCAGCTCCCTCTCCTCTGGAATGAACTCTGGGCAGGTTCTCTTGGGAAGACAGAACGTTCTAGAGCTGGAAGGTTGGAGCACATGTTGCCTGGCTATACTCTAACTGTGTGAACTGGTGCAGGCCACTCCCTTGATGTGGGATGTCCTTCTGTACAAGTGTTGCTTTTACTGGCTGATGAATAAGATTATTTGAGTCTGGGTGGCCAGGAAAATAATGAGCACTCTCTGTTTACACTCCCTAACCCAGTTTCCTGCGTGTGTGAATTAACAATAAAAAATACATACATGTTTAGGGCTTTATTTCTCTCTCAAACAAAACAACAACAAAACCAAAAACCAAATAAAATAAAACATAAAACAAACAAAAACAACAAACAAAAAGCAGGCCATACCACACTGCACATACTATGTGCCAACCTGCTCTTCCCATGTGTAAGCTAAGCTGATCCTTTAGCCTGCTTGGCTCACTTTCCCTATGGCAAGATACTGGTACTGCTGACTGGAGTGGCTGTATAGGTCAAAACACACAACACAGGACACACCTAGCGTGGGCCTGGCCCACAGTGGGCCACAGCATCAATTCCTTTCTCTGCCCCTGGCTTTCAGCCTTTCCCTCCACAGTTAGCACCTGCCACCCTCTGGGTATCACCCTCGTGTGGGGCCCTCTCTGTGACAGGCAGTTCTGCACAAGAGCCTGTTTGCCCAAGTTGGCTTCCCCATGGGGAGTGAGGCCTCTGCTTGGTAACAGAAGGGGACCGAAACTCAGCAGCAGACGGAGCAATTTGATCTAAGGTAATGGCATTCACTGTGTAATTAAGTTGAAACTTGGGGTGCCTCGGTCCAAGGTCTTAGGGAAGCACAGTGCCAGAGAAGTCCTGAAACATTAAATAAGCCACCCTAACCACCACTCAGGACACACGGCACTTGGGAAGGCCAGGTAGCTGCAGATGCTCATTCTGGCCTTAACATATCCACAGAGAGCAGCTCCTGACTGGCTGTAAAGTGGATTATGTCTTCATAGGGAGCCTCATCCTGGATGGTACCACCAGAGGGCCATCACAGTGTCTGGCTGGCTTCTAAACTGGGACATTTGGCCTAACAGCATCCTGTTCCAGCTCAGCTAACATCTGTGTCCGGTCTTGCTTGCTAGGACAAAAGGCAAGAATCTCTGGCCTCTGGGCTTTCCTGCCATTTGTCCTAGAAGGATCTTGGGGCCTTTGTTCCCTCCTCAGGAAACACAGGGACAGGGTCAGCTGTCTAAACACTTTAAAAGCTGAACAATTCTTTTTTGTAATCATCACTTTGATGGCATCTAATCCATCAGACAATGGTCAAGTTATTTTCACAGGTGAGTGGCTTCTCCCCTTGGCCCCTCCCCTCAGCTTTATGCTGTGGACAGCCTCTAAGGAGCCTCTAAGGAAAAGCCTGGGAGAAGCTGGAACACCTTTGGGCCAGATTCCTCTGATAAGTGATTAGGGGTGGAGTGGGGGCCTCACAATGACGAGGCCTGAGGCCACGAAGAGCCAGAGGACTTCAGCTCCACGGCTGCTGTTGCCACTAATGCTCTTGGATACCCTCCTCCAGACACGCGGCCCACCAGGAATCAATGCTGTGAACACTGCTACACTCTAGAAGCTGGGACTCAGGGACCCACATGAATCAGGAGCCAGAGACCAGAATGCAAATCTGCTATGCTCACTGGACATCTCCAAGAGTCTCGGTCCCTCACTAGGCTTCATTTTCTAATATGGAGAGGGAACTGTTCCACATGATTTGTGAGTCCTTTTCAATTATTACATTTAACTAATACCAGGGCCTCATACGTACTAGGTAAGCACCCTACCACTGGGCTACATCTCTAGCTCTCCTTTCCAATTAAACAAAACAAAATTTATTTATTCATTTATGTATTAGTGTGTGTGTGTGTGTGTGTGAGACAGAGGACAACTTGTGGGAGCTGGTTCTTTCCTCTTGCCATGGAGGCCACAGGGATCTAACTCAGCCTTGGTGGGAAGTATCCATATTCACTGAGTCATTTTGAGGCCCCCAATTCTAAAACGTTTGAAGAGTGTAGGTACAGGTCAAGAGCCTTAAGAGGTGCCTATACTTTGACGTATACCAATTCTACTTTAAGATATTCTTCAAGGTCTCACTGCTCCACTAATTAAATTAATAAAACATTTCCAACCACGGACAGTGGTTTTCATAAGCAACAGAGGGCGTTTGCTCAATGCACTCTTCTGAAGACATTAAAATCAACTAAAGCCAAAGAGCACAGGACAGCGCTTACCCACCGGACAAGGCAAATTTGGAGAGGCGATCGCAGATAAAGGTAGACAAACTAGAAAACTCTGCAAAGGTGTGTTCAACCGTGCAAGTAACAAGAGAGCTACAAAATAAAGAGGCACTATTTTTAACCTTATCAGATTGGCAAAAATCAAAGTGTGATCCTCTCACTACAGCTGGCAAGGAGATGGGGAAAGGCCTTTAGCCGCCTGCTGCTGGGTGCGGGCATGAGCGTGACTACCACACTGAGGGTTGCGGGGTTTCATCCATCCCTATTTAGGGTGCTTACACCTTGGCTCAGGGTTCCATTTCATTCATAAAAACACTGGTGTGTAAGGACAAGAAAAGAGTCTTAAATCAGGACCAAGTACTTACATTCAAATAAATGGCCCGGGACAGGGTAAGAGCAGGACATACCTAACCACATATGCTGAACTATGCATGGCAGACTGTGGAAGTGGTTAGTTACCGTGTGTGTATGTGTGTGTGTCTGAAGAAATGCACCTTAACTTTCTAACTTAAAAACTTGAAAAAGGTTTTACATATGCACGGTGTGTGGGGGGAGGGGGGACGACCAAATGAGGAACATCTAGTTAGCTTTGGGTCATGTGTGTAGGTCTTTCACTTGTTCATAGCTCCAAGTCTCTTACAATGAACACAAATCCTTTCTGAATGGAGAAAAAAAAAATCCCTCTATTAAAAATTACTTGGTGCCGGGTGGTGGTGGTGCACGCCTTTAATCCCAGCATTCGGGAGGCAGGGCAGGTGGATCTCTGTGAGTTCGAGACCAGCCTGGTCTACAAGAGCTAGTTCCAGGACAGGCTCCAAAACCACAGAGAAACCCTGTCTCGAAAAAACCAAATAAATAAATAAATAAATAAAATAAAATAAAAATTACTTGGTTGCCAGGGATGGTGGCACACAATTTTAATCCTAGCACTTGGGAGGCAGAGGCAGGAGGATCTCTGAGTTTGAGGCCAGTCTAGTCTACATAGAGTTCCATACCAGCCAGGGCTGGTTTGAAAACAAACAAACAGGTACAAAAACAACAAACATATTACATCATTGACTCACACCGATAATCCCAGAATTTACACACTCGAGAGACCGAGGCAAGAGGATGGCTATGAGTTGGAGCTTAGCCTGTATTACACAGTGAGTTCCAGGACAGCCTGAGCTAGCATGTAACCCTGTCTGAAAATAAAAATTAAAACATTACACACTTGTTACGTATAATTAAAATGTTAATAAAACATTAGACGTTGTATGGTGAAAGCTGAGGGTGTGCCCATTTGGTTTGGAAGAGTTTCAAGGTAATTGCCCAATCCTGCCTTTGCCATTCTGTGGAAATTTAAATTAGCTTCCTCATCTAAGGCATGGGCTGTTGTTAGACATTAGGTTTTATCTACCGTGAGGCGAGCACGTGACAGGTAGCTGGCAGGAGTAGAGAAGACAGGACTCTTGTGGCCCCTAACACAGCTCTAAAGGAGCCTGGTCCCGGCATCCTGGTGAACTGCCTGCCACAAGCAGTCAAGAAGAGGCCCGGTCCCAGCCACCTATCTTCCCCTGGCCTACCTTGCTGGGTTCTACGTCATCCGTCATGACCCCCGTCATGATGACAGCCTCATCTAGGGAGTACAGCAATCCTTCCACGAAGTGGTTCTCCGGTCGCTGGGACTCGCGGGTGAATTTTTCACAGATGGTCTCGAGGCCCCGAACTGGTTGAAACCGCAGCTTGACGTATTTCTTGGCAGGGATGATACGGATCTCGGCAGCGACCAGGAAACCCAAGGTCCCACAGGACCAGGGCACAGCATAGAAAAGGTCTGAGTTTTCAGACTGCGTGAGACAGAATTGGCACGTGCTGAGAACCTGACCTCTAGACACGGTCAATAAAGGAACATATAGGGCCTGGGCCAGATTCCTGCCTATTGCTATCTTGAGCAATGACATTATGATCCATACTCAATTTTCCAGCCGCAGTTCCTACTTTATATTTAATCTCCCATTGCTCCCTGTATCGGGGCTGCTCAGCTAAACAGCATCCACTACCTGCTACTGAAGCCTAGCCCCTGAACCACATACTACCCAGCAAGGTCATGACCAAAGACCCGACATGGGGGGACTAAAGGGGGGCCCTAGTGCAGGCTAAACGAGATAGATCACTATTAGAGCCAGGGTTGCCAAGAGGCATGAAAACGTGAATGTGCCCCCTACTGAGCGGGCACTAAAAGCGACAGTACCTTTCACAGCCCATGTCACCTTATTTCAGAGCCTGGCAGGGTACTGCCTGCTTTGACAGGTGAGGAGCATGAGTCCCTACTGAGGCAGACCTGCCTGGGTCAGGGTTCCTAGAAAGTCAGCTGCAGCAGCCGGGTCTCCCTACAGCCTCAGGCTCTGAACATCTGAGCCTACCCTCCCACAGACGGACACTGCCTTGTCCACTGGCCACTCTAAGTTAGATTCTTTCCGTCTCCAAGAGCCTTTTCCCAAAACACTCCAGCCTCGGGCTGGTTTACCAATAGGCCAGTGGTGTGCCAGCTCTACTAGCCTGTATTGCCTTGGTGGCAAGCGGGACAGGGAGCAGTGGGCCAGGGGACAAGGAAGTTAGTTCTGTGGCAGGCAGCAGGATACCGTCAACCAATCCCTTTCCTGGGCTACTTCTTATCTCACTGCCCAGGTCACCGCAGCACAAACTCCCTAAATAGCACCCCTGGCTCCATGCCAGGAACCTTCCCCCTCCAGCTCACACAGCTGCCAAAGGAGGAACCCGGCCTCAGAGAAGCCTTTGTCTCCTTCCCTGATGACCAGATAACAAGGCTCAGGTGAGAGTGCAGGAAGACTGCAGAACCACTCACCGTGAAGGATTTCTTGGCTGACTGTGGTTTATTAACCCCAGGCCCAATCCCCCGAGCTAGTTGTCTTTCTTCGGGTTTTCTTCCGTGAGGCCAAAGCTCTGGTGGCTCAGATGTACCCATCTTGAACCCGGTGACCCAGGTTTAAGTTCTAGCTGTGGAGGACTTCCTATCTGTGTGACCTCGGGCAGGTCTTTAGCCTCTCTGTGCTTGAGCGTCCTATCTGACTCACGGCAATCATAGGATCCACTCACAGTTTGTTGGAGAAAATGAACCCCTCAACATGTATATAGCATTCCCAACAGTACAGCCCAAGAGATGTATTTACAACGGAACCCCCAGGACGGCCACCAGATCCCCATCTCTGAACTTACCGGCGTGCAGCGCACAAAGCTGCCGTCTGAGAGGATCAGCTCATATGCAGTGCAGATGTGCTGGAACAGGCCGTACTTGTGGGAGGACGACTCGATGCCTGTGCCCATGATCAGGCCCCCTGTGGAGACGAGCGTGTCAGCAGGGGAAGCTGTGGTGTGCAGGGTGGAGCTGGTGGGAATGGAGCTACTCAATGAGGGTATTCCCTATCCATCGATTTGGAGGGCAGGAGTGAGAAGATCTCCTTGAGGGTCGCCACCCTCACCTCTGGTCAGCCTTAGAGGTTAAAATAAATCTGTGTGTGCATCCACGTTAAGAGGAACTTTAACGAAAAGGGAGGTTACTGGGTAGCAAGGTGCTATGCGCTATGGGAGGGTGCTGGCCCTGGACAAAAGCTCTGGTGGTCACAGACCCTGCAGGGAGAGGAACCAAACTTACTCCAAGTGTGACACTGGTAGAATTGGAGCAACGGACAGTCACAAGGAGGCAGACGGCATCAGATTACCTGAACTGCTCAGAAATGGAGCATGAGAAAGCTGTCACCGAGGAGCTCTGCTATATGGAGGGGGGTTGATGCTCCTCCACTGTGACACTGAGACCACCCAGCCCACCGACCACGAACACGGAGCACTCACCCACGGTGAGGTCGTCGAGCTCAGGCAACACAGGCAGGGTCCAGCCAAGGGAGTTCAGCAAAGCTGTCACCTGACCCATAGACACCAAGGGCTCCACTCGAACAATCTGTAGATGGGGACAGGAGAGAGGCTGGGTCTGAGGGAAACAGCAAACCCAACAAGAACGCCTGCACGCAGAACAAGTATCTCAGCCTTTACGGCTCTTTCTAGAATACTAGACTGACTTTAATTAACGGTGAATGACCTCTGGTTCGAGTAAGCAAGTGTTGAATGCCATCCTCTTGAAGATCTCACAACTATTGGGTGTGGTTGCACACAGTGAGAATCCTAGCACTTGGGAAGCGGAGGCAGGAGAACTGCTTGCTTACAAGTTGGAGGCCAGCTGGGGCTATATAGCAAAATCTTGTAAGAAAGCAGACAAAACAAATCCCAAACAAACAGAATAAATACAAGAAAAGTTCAGTTACTTTTTATTCTAGATTATAGGAGAAATATTAATGTGGAAGTTACAGCAAAAAATAGCAATCATCCATACTATTATTCACTTAGCAATGACAAGCACGAAGCCAATCTGTCTTGCTTTTCCATACGTCTATGCTGCTCTTTTGTATGTTTTAATACAACATACATATACCCAAGTACAAACCCACACATGCACATCTGTTTGACTACTAAAAATTTAGTCCTAGAGGGGGCTGGATAGGTGGCTTAGCAGTTGGGAGAACTGGATGTTCTTCCAAAAGACCTGGGTTAGATTACCGGTACCCACATGGCAGCTCACAACCACCTGTGACTCCAGTTCAAAAGGACTTTAGATAAGTGCTAGATTTTTCCATCATACAGAGACTAGACAAAAAATAATACAGCTAGCTCTCCCAGGACTTGATCATCATCTCAATTTTCTCAGGGTCCTCTAAAGATGCTATTGCCCCCAGTCAGCAGGAAGTAATTTTAAGAATATGATGCCCACATTCCTAAGAGATGTGTGTGTGTGTGTGTGTGTGTGTGGTTTCTGATTGTTCTATAGGTTATGAATGTTAGTCATTGTTTAGGGGGGTTGGTTGCAAATTGTTACTTGTCATGGTAAGGGAGGAAATTAAGCAAGGGAGGTTGGATTCAAAGATCTCCTTCTGAAAAAAAGGGGGGGGGCAGTTATAGAAAGGACATAAAAGATTACTGAGTCTAATTTAAACTACAAAGCAACTATTAAATCTCAAATATTTTAAATTGGTATGGATTTTTATATACTGATACAAATTTAAGGTTATTTTTGTTAGAACATATTCTATATATGTTCCTATTCTTGTTTAAGGTATTATTGTATATTGATACAAATTTAAGGTTCTTTTTATTCTACTGTATATAAGTTTCTACTCTTGTTTGAGGTATTATACGTAGATAGCTCATTAAAAAATATAATGTATAATTAAGAAATTAGATTAGTATTTAGTCATCCATAAGAATCAAACTTGTAGTCATGCTAGGTATATTTTCAAGGTTAAATAAGAGACATATTTATTTTTAGATAGGTGGGCAGCCTTCATATACTTCAGGGACTTATGAAATATGGCATTTAAGATGTTTTAATAACCTAAGGCTTTTCTTAAAAACTTATTTCTTTTTACTTCATGTGTATTGGTGTTTTGATTTCATGTATATCTGTATGAGGGTTTTAGAGCCACTGAAACTAGAGTTACAGACGACTGTGAGCTGCCACATAGGTGCTGGGAATTAAACCCAGATCCTCTGTAAGAGTGCTCTTAACCACTGAATCATCTCTCTAGTCCATCCTAAGGCTTTTCATGACAGTGAGACACATCTGCTCCTGGTTGCATAAATTTATTCCAAAAAAGGATGTTGGATATCGAAGAACCTCCATATGGAGTTTACTTTTGCTATGGCAAAGTTAGCCACTGGGCAACAAACTGCCCTTGCCTCAACTGCTGACAGTATGCTGTCCAAATTGGACAAGCAGGACACAAGCATGCAATTGCTGAACTTTGCTAAGACAAGGTAGGACAGTCCTTCCAAATTCCTGCTTCACAGAAAAGGCTGTCATATATTCTGGGCCTGTAGCCGAAGATGGATGACTCACTGTTTCAGAGGAACCTTGGGTGACTGTCCAGAGAGCCAGCTGCTTCTGTTTCTTAGTTTTGGAAGTTGCTTGCTCTGCCCTTCCTACTAAACAGTTAACGATACTTGAGAGACAGGGAACAAACAAGGCAAGCTCTGAGACTATTCTAATCTGCCCAGAATGAGGGGAATAGGGAGGGAAACCCGGGTGGAGCCTGCATCATTATGATCTTCTAGACCAGAGTTCCAGAGGACCAATCAGAAAAGTGTTTGCAGCACAGAGTTTCACAACAGTGTTGTCCAGAGAGGAACTCCTGGAAGAACTGAAAAGGGGACCACAGCATATGCAACCTATCTCCTGAGGCTGAGGCCAGGGAGCAGAATCATCAGGGAAGATTACAGGTAAAGACACCAGAAGGTCATCCAGGGCCTAGCATCCACTCTCATAAACCAGCCTGGAAAACTTGATGCACGGTGCCTTGGGCAGAGTCCTTACAATGCCTTGCCTCAGTATTGGGGAAACAACTAACTCAGATTAGATGGTGCTCTGCTCCCACCTAAGAAAATCAAGACTCAAGAGGATCAAATTGTTTCCCAGGATTTTAGCTGCCTCCTAGAAATACAACCTCAAGACATGTAGGAATGCAATACCCAAAGCCCACTAGGAAAAGGTCAGAATGTCACAACTGTCCAGTCAACACTTCCAGGTAGCAAAGATGCAGCAAACTACATGACGAGAAAAACCCATCAAGCAAAACAGAACTAGAACTAACAAACAGAAGAGCAATCAGGAACACCAGCTGAATTCTCTGTGTTCAAATAGTTAAGTTTGAGGGCCAGTAAGATGGCTCTGTGGAGAAAGGAACTTGCCTTGCAAGCCTGAAGACCTGTGTTCAATCTACAGAATTCAGGAGTGAACTGACTTTTGAAAACTATTCTCTGAACTCCACATGTGCCCCTCAGCATGTGCGTTGTGTGTGTGTGCGCGTGCACACACACACACACACACAAACTACAAAAGATATTAGCAAGACCCAGTGTCTGGAATGAAAGATACAATAGACTAGGATCATAGCAAACTGGGAATTACAAAAGAAAAATGAGTGGACTTAAATAGAGGGCAATGGAAACCATTTCCAGAGAGACAGGAGAAATAGCTTGAAGAATCTGAAGAGGCCTAGCACACCTGTTATAGCAGTCTCCAAAGGAGGAGAGATAAAGGAGGCGGAAAAAAAAAAAAACATCCTCAAAGCTTCAGTGAAAAAAACTAACAAATTCTAAACCCAAAAATTACGAAGAAAATCATACCAAAACACATCACAATAAATTGCTCAAACGCAGTGATTAAAAAAAAAACCTCTTAGCAGAAAAGAGAGGGGGAGAAGCCTATTAAGAGGGGTGCTATTCTTTTTTTCACATGTATTCCTTCTTTTTTGTTGTTTTTGTTTGTTTGTTTTTTCAAGACAAGGTTTCTCTGTGTAACCGTGGCTGTCCTGAAACTTGCTCTGTAGACCAAGCTGGCCTCGAACTTAGAGATTTGCCTGTCTCTGCCTCCTGAGTCCCGGGATTAAATGTGTGTACCACCACCACTTGGCTATGAGTTTAGTTCCCAGTATCCATGTTGGGTGGCTTATAATCACCTGTAACTCCAGGATCTGATGCCCTCTTCTGTACTCTATGGAGACTCATGCATGTGTGTGCATATACAGACACATAAGTAAAAATCAAATACATTAAAACAAAAACCCGACAGAATTCTTGCTAGAATCAATGCAAGCAAAGGCAGTGGAGTAACTTCTCCAAAGTACTGAGAGAAAAATACCTGTCAGCCTGGGAAAATGTGCATGTGTATACATTGTGACATAAGCAAGAAATGTTAAGAGGTCCTTCAGACAAAAGGAAATCAAATGCACAGAAATTTATTCTCTAGAATAGATGGTAACTACTCCATGGATAAATAGGTGTTCTTATTTAAATTTCTTTAATAGGCAACTGGTTATTAAAATAATGACAGTAACAGCGCAGAGCTAGGGAGAGTGTGACTATAGAGCAAAGGGCAGGAGGGAGGACCTGAAAGTTTATTGTCCTCGGGTCTTCAAACCCTGTGCGAAGTGAGATAACATTACTGGACCTGGAGGAAAACGCATATTGGAAACCCTGAAGCTGTGCTCCACCTTAAAGAAAGCTAACACAGGATCATTAAGATCATTTGATAATCCAAAAGAATGCCGGGAAGAAGAAAGAAAAAAGAAGCAGGGGATAAATGAGGCACAAAGGCAGACTGCATGAGCAGCAGGTGACAGGCTCAAACCTCATCAATTAAGGACATCAGACGCAACAGTCTCGCCACCTCAATTAAAAGACAGAGGCTGCCAGGTTCAATTTAAAAGAAGCAAGACCCAACCGGGTGCTGCCTAGAAGAAACACACTTTATTAGGTCAACAGGAAAAGGATTAAAGAAATACATATCATGCCACTGCTGGTCAAATGAAAAGGCAGTGGCTTTATCGATACCAGACTAAGATTTCAGAGGAAGACTATAACTGAGAATTTTTTTTTTAAAAAGGCAATCTCGGCCAGATGTGGTAGTGCACACCTGTAATCTCAGCATTTGAGGGCAGGCAGTAGGTGTGGGGTTCAAGGCCAACCTAAGCTATATCTTTTCATAATGAAAAAAAAAAGATTAATCAAAAGGATATTAAGAAAACCTTAAACATGTTTGTTTATGTCTAGTAACAGAGTTTTGAAATTCATGATGTGAAACTTTGATACATGACTAGAGAATAAACAAACCTACAATAACAGGTCGACTTCAGTCTCCATGATGAGCGGGGAGGAAACGTACAAAGTCAGATTTGAACAAGACTATGAGCCATGAGACCGAATTGACATTTGTAGAACATGTCAGTCCAAAACTGTGCACTCACAAGAGCGCATACACGTACACACACACACAATACTAACCTGGAGTATTTTTTTTTTTTAAGTTGAAAGCATTCAGTCTTTTGGCAATAGCTAAATTAAATCAGAAATCTGACACAGAAGGAGTTTGCTAAATGTCTGGAAACTAAACATCCATGTAACTACCCCAGGTCAAAACATAAAGCAAAAGGGAAATTAGAAAGTATTTTAGAATGGGTGACATGACTCAGTGGATAAAGACACTTGTCACCAAGCCTGACAACTTGAGTTTGATCCCCAAGCCTGTAAGATGGAAGGAAAACCTATTCCCACAGCCGTCCTCTGACCTCTGCACGCCTGCACGGGCAATAAAATTCTGGTTTTCAAAAGTCATGGACAAAGAGAAAATATCAAATGATTTTGGAGCCTAAAAAATTAGTAAAGGATCTGAGCAGGCCTCAGAAGGACGACATGCCAACGGCCAGTATCTGCATGGAAAGAGGGCCAGGGTCTTCAGTCATTAGGGGAGAGCAAGCTAAAACCACAAGGAGACGCCACCACAACACACACACACACACACACACACACACACACACACACGAGAACGGCTAAAATCAAGGACCACTACGACAGGTCCAGCAATACGTAGCAGCAGGCACACACACTGCTCACAGGACTGTAAAAATGCGCTGCTCCTTAGGAAAACAACCCGACCAAGCCCTTAAACATACACAAACATCCACCTGCCGTGACTCAGCCATTCTCCTTCACATTTGTCCAAGGAGAGATGTATAACGATTTGTTGTTGTTTTTAGATTTCTTTGTATTGTTTTAAACTATGTGTTCTGTGCATATCTGTGTCTGGGTACACGTGTGCAGGTGCCCTTGGAGGTCAGAGGCTTTGGGTCCCCAGGCCTGGAGTTACAGGTGTTGTCAACCCTGTATATGGGAGCCAGGAACCAAACTTGGGTCCTCTACGAAACAGTATGAGTGATTGACCGATGAGCCACCTCTCTGGTCCCCATTTTAGTTTTTAAATTATGTGTATGTGTGTGTGTGGAGGTCTGAGGTATCCAGCAGCTTCCCTGACGCTTAGTGAGCTGTCTGACATGGTGGGTGACAGGGGCTGAACTCAGGTCCTCGGCAAGAGCTGAGTCAGCTCTCCAGCCCCAAAGGAAGACTTTGCATGTTTACAGAAAGTCTGCCCAGAAATGTTCCTGACCAAAGTGGAAATAGCCCGGATGTCCACCTGCAGGTAAATGGCTAAACAAACTGATCTCTCCACACAAAGGATACTATTTAGCAGACAGTATGTGCTAGGCACAAACGCTTCAAAATGGACGTGTCTTAAATGACCCTTTTAGAGAACCCAGACCAGAAAAGTATACACTAAACAGCTTCTGTCAATGGTCTCTAGTGTCTAGCATTCATTTACAGCAACAGCAGCAGAACACTGTTAACACAATGCTGTGGGTGGAACAGGTAGGGAGGGGCTTAAGGGGAAAAAATTACCAAGAGCCATGAGTAAACTTTTAAGGCTGTCGGGTACGCTCCGCTCTGTGTTTTAATAATGGTTTCACTGGTGCAAGGCTGTCAAACTCATGTCAAAATTTATTACCCAACTGCACACTTTAAATAGGTGCAGTTTATTATAGGCCAGGCATATATCCAAAAAGTTGTCTTAGAGAAGACACAGTGATACGTGTACTTTGGCCAGGGTCTCACAGTAATGAAATGACATCAAAGTGGCCACATTGTATTCAGTAACTCTCCTGTTGCTGGATATTGCACTGTTCTTTTAGAAAAAAATGTAATCAAAATCTGTGTGTTAGAGATCTCTGATTACACAGAAGCCCAATTCCCTTTTCCTTAAGCTATGTTTGGAGAAGTAGAATGATTACACCTTATCTTAGCTAAAAGACCCAGAAGGCATTAAGAAGTAGAATTAGTAGCTGGGCCAAAGAGTGTTTCTACTTCTGGGCAAGTTCCCCTTTCCTGGCTATCTCCCGCCCACATACACCTTTTCTTTCTTTTTTTCCACCAGCAGGAAGGGGTAAGCAGGTTCCCTTTCGCCACTCATGTTTGCCTGTGATTTCTCCATCCCTAATTTTTTATGAAATTAAAATGATCAAAAGATTCCCTGGAGTTCTCAGCTTACATGACTGTTCTCTCAGTGGCTGTAAGACTCGGGAGGACATGGGTGGGTAGAACTAGTTAGTAATAAGCCTGAGCTATTGGTCGAGCATTTATAATTAATATAAGCCTTAGTGTGTTTATTTGAGAGTGACTGCAGGACGGGGAAACTGCCTACATAGAGCCTTTACTGACGGCCTTGGTCCTGTCTACTCTGGGATGTCCTTGACTGAACACATTTTCCCATGAGTCACTCACATGGGGAAGTGTCCATCTGCTCCCAGAGCCAGGGTACAGCATGTGCTCACTTGATTTTGTGTGTCCACTCCCCCCCCCCCCCCCCCCCCCCCCCCCCCCCCCCCCCCCCCC